AGATTCCTTAAGAAATATTAAATTTACTTTATCCCCTTTTTCTCTCCACAGGCCCTGGAATTGTATAATAAAAGTATTTGTTTTTCTGAACCCGGTTCCGAGAATCTCTCCATTGGCTATGCCAATCGTTCTGCCGTACTATTCGAATGGAAACGCTATCGCGAATGTCTGCTCAATATAGAGTTGGCACGCAAGGCCAACTATCCTAGCCGATTGATGCACAAATTGGATAAACGTGAAAAGGATTGCCATAAATTATTGGCCAGTCAACCGCCCGACATTCAACCCTATGAATTTCAAATGGAATTCGAAGCACACCCTCAAGTGCCCCATATAGCCGAGTGTCTGGAGTTGCGCGAAACTGCCGAAGAGGGTCGCTTCATATGCGCTAAACGTGATTTGGTTGTGGGCGATTTGGTAGCCACTGATGAGCCATTCTGTTCGACTCTACTGCCACCAATGCGTTTTATACGCTGTGCCACCTGTAAAGAAGAGAAATATCTTACACTAATACCCTGCGAAAGTTGTTGTTCCGTTATGTTCTGTTCGGAGGAGTGCCGTGAGACTGCGGTCAACACTTTCCATAAATATGAATGTCCCGTCATTGATTTACTGCACACCATGTTTAATAAAATACATGGCATCGCCTTGAGGGTGTGTCTCTCGGCTTTGGAACTGTTTCCCACCATTGAAGAGCTTATGGCATTTTGCGATGAACCCGATAATCAAAATCGTTCTGCATTTGATTTGGACTATACCAACTTTACGCCCAGAGAACACTATCGGGCCATACACGGTCTAGTGACTAATCAGCACTTGCGCTCCGTTTCGGATCTATTTCAACGTTCGGTGGTTTGTGCTGTGCTCAAGCATTTCATGATTAACTACACACCTTTGAAAGACTTTTTGGGTGGTGAAGAGGGACAAAATTTCTTTACAGAATTACTGTTTCGACACTTGCAGACCTCACCCTCCAATATGCATGGCATCGATTTGGTGGAACAAATCAATGAGACTAAAGATGATACAACGCACTCGTCGGGAGCATTTGCTTTTCTATCACTGCTTAATCATTCATGTGCCCCCAATACGGTGCGTATTTATAAAGGCTGTAAAGCCTATTTGTTTGTGCTTCGTCCAATACCTGCCGGTGGTATGCTGCATGATAATTATGGGTGAGTTTTTGGGGAAATAAAATCAAAGTTTTATTTTTTAATTATTTTTCTCTTCCAGCCAACATTATGCCATCTCACCCAAGGCAAAACGCATTGATATACTATCCATGCAATATCGTTTCACCTGCAAGTGTGAAGCCTGCGAGCAGGACTATCCCACAATCGATAAACTCATGCCCAAACTCTTCGTACCCTATGTCAATGACGAGCACCATATAAGTAGTCTGATAGCCTATGATTTTGATTTCGCTTTGAAAAACTATCGCAAATACTGTGAATTCCTAACCAAATATGGTGAGGCCTATCCCTGCGATCAAATCAGCTCCGCCGAAGAAAGTCTCAAAATGGCCCTGCACATATTAGTCGATGCTGTGCCCCTCAAAGCAAAAATGAATCAAAGTCCTCAATTTCTCGACCGATATAAAGTAGAGGAGGCGAAACAGGAAAACGAGAATGAAGATAATCTTAAAACGGAAATGAAACAAAAACAGGAAGTTAAAACTGAAGTTAAAACAAATTAGAAAACAGTTAAAACTACTCACTCACACAACAACTACAACAAAAACATGCTTTGGATGCCATATTTAGCTGAAGAAAGTTGGATTAAAAACACAACAAAAATGGTTTGACTATTATACATAAATAAATGATGCCCCCATTGTTTAGTTACATATTTTGATAGAGATACAACAAGGTTTTTGCTGAACCTTACAAAAAAAATGATTTTTTTTTTTTAATTTAAATATTTAACTTGTGAATACAGAAAAGAAGAAAAGGAGCTGAACAAAAACAAGACGAGAGTAAGAAGAACAAAATATCAACGCGTTTTTTTTAATTTGTAGAAAACAAAACTAAAATTTACAAACAAAATATATCACTCACAATTTTCACAAAAAAAAAAGAAAAACTCTTCTCTTTATAAATGAAAGAAAGGAGTAAGTAGAGGGATTAAATAGTTTTTGTAGCAAAGTGTAAGTTTAAAGAAACTTGTCAGAAGTTGTCAGACTAGGTTGTGGTCTATATTCCATTCCAACAGACAATCGATTATTCTGTAGTCGAGACAATAGGCTATTACATAGCTGAGACTATAGACTATTCTATAGTCCAGATTATAGACTATTCTATAGTCCAGACTATAGACTATTCTATAGTCCAGACTATAGACTATTCTATAGTCCAGACTATAGACTATTCTATAGTCCAGACTTTAGACTATTCAATAGTCCAGACTATAGACTATTCTATAGTCCAGACTTTATACTATTCTATAGTCCAGACTATAGACTATTCTATAGTCCAGACTATAGACTATTCTATAGTCCAGACTATACACTATTCTATAGTCCAGACTATAGACTATTCTATAGTCCAGACTATAGACTATTCTATAGTCCAGACTATAGACTATTCTATAGTCCAGACTATAGACTATTCTATAGTCCAGACTATAGACTATTCTATAGTCCAGACTATAGACTATTCTATAGTCCAGACTATACACTATTCTATAGTCCAGACTATTCTATAGTCCAAACTATAGACTATTCTATAGTTCAGACTACAGACTATTCTATAGTCCAGACTATAGACTATTCTATAGTACAGACTATAGACTATTCTATAGTCCAGACTATAGACTATTCTATAGTTCAGACTATAGACTTTTCTATAGTCCAGACTATAGGCTTTTCTATAGTCCAGACTATAGGCTTTTCTATAGTCCAGACTGTAGACTTTTCTGTAGTCCAGACTGTAGACTTTTCTGTAATCCAGACTATTCTATAGTGCAGACTATAGGCTATTCTATAGTGCAGACTATAGGCTATTCTATAGTCCAGACTATAGGCTATTCTATAGTCCATACTATAGACTGTTCTATAGTCCATACTATAGAGTTCAGACTACAGACTATTCTATAGTTCAGACTACAGACTATTCTATAGTCCAGACTATAAACTATTCAATAGTCCAGACTACAGACTATTCTATAGTCCAGACTATAGACTATTCTATAGTCCAGACTATAGACTATTCTATAGTCCAGACTATAGACTATTCTATAGTCCAGACTATAGACTATTCTATAGTCCAGACTATAGACTATTCTATAGTCCAGACTATAGACTATTCTATAGTCCAGACTATAGACTATTCTATAGTCCAGACTATAGACTATTCTATAGTCCAGACTATAGACTTATCTATAGTCCAGACTATAGACTTATCTATAGTCCAGACTATAGACTTATCTATAGTCCAGACTATAGACTATTCTATAGTCCAGACTATAGACTATTCTATAGTCCAGACTATAGACTATTCTATAGTTCAGACTACAGACTATTCTATAGTCCAGACTATAGACTATTCTATAGTACAGACTATAGACTATTCTATAGTCCAGACTATAGGCTATTCTATAGTCCATACTATAGACTGTTCTATAGTCCATACTATAGAGTTCAGACTACAGACTATTCTATAGTTCAGACTACAGACTATTCTATAGTTCAGACTACAGACTATTCTATAGTCCAGACTATAAACTATTCTATAGTCCAGACTACAGACTATTCTATAGTCCAGACTATAGACTATTCTATAGTCCAGACTATAGACTATTCTATAGTTCAGACTACAGACTATTCTATAGTCCAGACTATAGACTATTCTATAGTACAAACTATAGACTATTCTATAGTCCAGACTATAGGCTATTCTATAGTCCATACTATAGACTGTTCTATAGTCCATACTATAGACTGTTCTATAGTCCATACTATAGAGTTCAGACTACAGACTATTCTATAGTTCAGACTACAGACTATTCTATAGTTCAGACTACAGACTATTCTATAGTCCAGACTATAAACTATTCTATAGTCCAGACTACAGACTATTCTATAGTCCAGACTATAGACTATTCTATAGTCCAGACTATAGACTATTCTATAGTCCAGACTATAGACTATTCTATAGTCCAGACTATAGACTATTCTATAGTCCAGACTATAGACTATTCTATAGTCCAGACTATAGACTATTCTATAGTCCAGACTATAGACTATTCTATAGTCCAGACTATAGACTTATCTATAGTCCAGACTATAGACTTATCTATAGTCCAGACTATAGACTATTCTATAGTCCAGACTATAGACTATTCTATAGTCCAGACTATAGACTATTCTATAGTCCAGACTATAGACTGTTCTATAGTCCAGGTTACATACTGTTCTATAGTCCAGACTATAGACTGTTCTATAGTCCAGACTATAGACTGTTCTATAGTCCAGACTATAGACTGTTCTATAGTCCAGACTATAAACTATTCTATAGTACAGACTATAGACTATTCTATAGTCCAGACTATAGACTATTCTATAGTCCAGACTATAGACTTTTCTATAGTCCAGACTATAGACTTTTCTATAGTCCAGACTATAGACTGCTCTATAGTCCAGACTATAGACTGTTCTATAGTCCAGACTATAGACTGTTCTATAGTCCAGACTATAGACTGTTCTATAGTCCAGACTATAGACTGTTCTATAGTCCAGACTATAGACTGTTCTATAGTCCAGACTATAGACTGTTCTATAGTCCAGACTATAGACTGTTCTATAGTCCAGACTATAGACTGTTCTATAGTCCAGACTATAGACTGTTCTATAGTCCAGACTATAGACTGTTCTATAGTCCAGACTATAGACTGTTCTATAGTCCAGACTATTGACTGTTCTATAGTCCAGACTATAGACTGTTCTATAGTCCAGACTATAGACTGTTCTATAGTCCAGACTATAGACTATTCTATAGTCCAGACTATAGACTATTCTATAGTCCAGACTATAGACTGTTCTACAGTCCAGACTAGACTATTCTAAATTAACAAGATCTTTAATTATTTCCCTTTCTAGGGTCGTCCATTACAGTATATAAATGTTACCCTTTGATCCATGGATTTTCCCATACAAAAACTATAAACAAATTCCTTCCGACTTTTTGTTTTGATTCTCTAAAAAACTATAATTTTAGTGCTCGCTCATATAATAAATCGAAAGTAGTTTTTGCTATCTTAATTTCTTATAAATTTATTGTTTAAATATTTTTTTAAAATAATTACATAATGCTTAAACAGCTTTAAAATTAAATTATAAAATAACAACTTTACAAAACTCATTTAAATTATGTAATTTATTTCATGATGAAATACGTTTTTAGTTTTCTTTATTAAAACCTCGAAACAAAATTACACTAAACTTTTTGTTAACTGTAAAATCATACACTGAGAAAAAACCAACTGCAAAACAAAGTAAATTGTTTAAAAACAAACTAAAAAATAAAACTAAGAACAAAAAATTACTTAATTTATTTTGCTATATAAATCCAAAAGATCTTTATTAAGACCAGTTGCCGATATGTCGGGTAATTGAGCTTTTGTTGCAGCATAAGTGGTTGCTGTAGCTGCTGGGGTAACCGAAGCAGTTGTAGTAACATCCAATTGTTTATTATACACGGGATTCAGATGAACAAAACCTTTTGATTGTTGTTCAGAAGAGCAGGAGGCATTATTAGTATTAGTAAAGACGCCATTAACATCTAAATCTTCAAATAAAATATTACATTGCTGTAGATTTTGTTCGTAATTCTTTTGAAATTCTCGCACATTTATGGGTTTAAAATCATCCGAACTGTTAACAAAATTCCCTGCCGCCGATGATGTCTGAGGGAAATTTAACATTTCCGCCAATTGATTAACACATTTAGCTGTACTAACCACCGACTTTTCATTCAGTTGCTGCTTTTTAAGCTCCGCTATTTCGGCACTTTTTATATAAATATTATCCCCTATACAATCCTTAAAATCTTGATAGTAGCTGGCGTCCACCTCCTCTAAGAAAGTACCATCCAAAGCCTGAAAACCCAACCTTATTAGCAATGAAATTTTCGTATTAAACACTTCCAACCAAGCTTTATTTGTTCTATATATAGCATGCTGTTCTTCATCCGTACATGAATTCCAAAAATCTAAGAGAGTATTTTTGGTAAAATCTATTAACATGGAACGTTTTTCATCGGGATAAAAGTTGCCAATGCCCTGTAAGTGTCTGAAAGTGATATCCATGAGATGATATTGCTGCTTGCTTTGAAATAGCTGCCATTTGTAAATCATTGTCATTAGATTCCACAGCTTATCCATGGAGACATCATCTAAACGCATTAATGAACAGGTGGCTATATCTTTGAGCATAAATTTACAATGTTCTTCGGTTAGTAACTGAGCATTGGGTTGTGTAGAGCCCACTATCAGGGAGTCAATGAATTTCGGTTCCAACAGTACAGCTGTGACATCGTGAATAACTGAGAAAGAAAGAAAATGAACTGAATTTAGTAATAACTAAAATATTTACAACGGAATAAGCTGTAAAATAGTCAATAGTCTGGGCTATAGAATAGTCTAAAGCCTGGACTATGAATAGTCTGTAGTCTAGACTAAACTATACTATAGTATAGTCCATAGTCTGGACTATAGAATAGTCCACAGTCTGGACTATAGAATAGTCTATAGTCTGGACTGTAGAATAGACTATAGTCTGGACTATAGAACAGTCTATAGTCTGAACTATAGTATAGTCCATAGTCTGGACTATAGAATAGTCCATAGTCTGGACTATAGAATAGTCCATAGTCTGGACTATAGAATAGTCCATAGTCTGGACTATAGAATAGTCCATAGTCTGGACTATAGAATAGTCTATAGTCTGGACTATAGAATAGTCCATAGTCTGGACTATAGAATAGTCCATAGTCTGGACTATAGAATAGTCCATAGTCTGGACTACAGAATAGTCTATAGTCTGGACTATAGAATAGTCTATAGTCTGGACTATAGAATAGTCTATAGTCTGGACTATAGAATAGTCTATAGTCTGGACTATAGAATAGTCTATAGTCTAGACTATAGAATAGTCTATAGTCTAGACTATAGAATAGTCTATAGTCTTGACTATAGAATAGTCTATAGTCTGGACTATAGAATAGTCTATAGTCTGGACAATAGAATAGTCTATAGTCTTGACTATAGAATAGTCTATAGTCTGGACTATAGAATAGTCTATAGTCTTAACTATTGAATAGTCTATAGTCTGGACTATAGAATAGTCTATAGTCTGGACTATAGAATAGTCTATAGTCTGGACTATAGAATAGTCTATAGTCTGGACTATAGAATAGTCCATAATCTGGACTATAGCATAGTCCATAGTCTGGACTATAGAATAGTCTATAGTCTGGACTATAGAATAGTCTATAGTCTGGACTATAGCATAGTCTATAGTCTGGACTATAGTATAGTCCACAGTCTGGACTATAGAATAGTCTATAGTCTGGACTATAGAATAGTCTATAGTCTGGACTATAGAATAGTCTATAGTCTGGACTATAGAATAGTCTATAGTCTGGACTATGGAATAGTCTATAGTCTGGACTATATAATAGTCTATAGTCTGGACTATATAATAGTCTATAGTCTCGACTATAGAATAGTCTATAGTCTGGACTATAGAATAGTCTATAGTCTGGACTATAGAATAGTCTATAGTCTCGACTATAGAATAGTCTACAGTCTGGACTATAGAATAGTCTATAGTCTGGACTATAGAATAGTCTACTGTCTGGACTATAGAATAGTCTATAGTCTGGACTATAGAATAGTCTATAGTCTGGACTATAGAATAGTCTATAGTCTGGACTATAGAATAGTCTATAGTTTGGACTATAGAATAGTCTATAGTCTTGACTATAGAATAGTCTATAGTCTGGACTATAGAATAGTTTATGGTCTATAGTCGGAACTATAGAATAATCTGTAGTCTTAACTATAGATTATACTTCAGTATATGAAATTTCTGGAGCTTTTGTACCAACGTATAACTTTTTATTGGTTCATTTGTTTCAAGGAAGTTGCTTTGAAAGTTATATAAAACATTTTTGAATCATTTTTCCGTATTATTCGTTTTCAATGTCAAAAAACAACTACAAACTTTTTAAGTACTTCCACATTCCAAAAAAAAAAAACATAATTAACTCCTTCTACCTAGAACAACAGTATAAAATAACTTCTCTTTTTATAATATGTATTTTCAATTAGAACTCTTTTTCGTACCTTGTATCGACTTATCAAGCGCAATTTGTTGCGCCTTCAAACGCTGGTCGATTACAAACAACATTTCACAACCCAAATTAACCAAAATGAAAACATTTGCACGAGGATTTAACTTGTGATGACTAAAAGAAGTCATTTTATTTTTTTCAGTATTAAAAGCACCGTTTGTATTTATATTAAACAATTTTTTACCGAGCGTTACGTTAAGGCGACACGTCCGTTAAACACGAAATTCTAAAGAAAACTGTTTATTGTCTGGGGGTTTATTATTTTAGTTTTTGTTTCATTTATTATTATTTTAGCCAATTACTAAGTTATTGCTGTACTAACTCAAAACAGTTTGTCTGCAAAGGATATTTAGTGTTTAGTAGCAGGGTTCTGATGCGGCTAGAGGGAGGTTAGTTAATGGTTAGCATAGCTAAGGGTTAGTGTTTGTAATGAAGCAAGTTTGTAAAAGAGTATTAAGGAAATTTGTTGAAACAAAAGGTTACCGAATTAAAAGGGTTAATTAGAATTAGATTTTTAAACTTCTGAACCGATCGCCGAAAATCTTACGTTATAGGAACAGATTTTAATTGTACTTATACCAATTTTAATATTCAATGAAATAACGATGAAAAAAGGAACATTTGGGTGTCAGTTCCCTTTTTAAAGCTTCCACACCCCAAGTTCGGTTAAAAATTCTTCACATTACCTTGAAAACCCCAAATTAAAACGATTATTAATCGATTACTCGCAAACCCTGCTAGAGAGGTAATAAATACAAAAATAAAATTTTATTTTGTTTGCTTCTTTCTTACTCACACTGCCATAAAAAGAAATTGAGTGCTAAAATGTAGTGAAATATACCATGTTATGACAAAATTGTAATTTGTTGTATAAATAAAATAAGATTAATAGACCTTATGACTATAGAATAGTCTATAGTCTGGACTATAGAATAGTCTAAAGTCTGGACTATAGAATAGATTATATTCTGGACTATAGAATAGATTATATTCTGGACTATAGAATAGTCTATAGTCTGGACTATAGAATAGTCTATAGTCTGGACTATAGAATAGTCTATAGTCTGGACTATAGAATAGTCTATAGTCTGGACTATAGAATAGTCTAAAGTCTGGACTATAGAATAGATTATATTCTGGACTATAGAATAGATTATATTCTGGACTATAGAATAGTCTATAGTCTGGACTATAGAATAGTCTATATTCTGGTCTATAGAATAGTCTATATTCTGGACTATAGAATAGTCTATATTCTGGACTATACAATAGTCTATAGTCTGGACCATACAATAGTCTATAGTCTGGACTATACAATAGTCTATATTCTGGACTATACAATAGTCTATAGTCTGGACTATAGAATAGTCTATATTCTATACTATAGAATAGTCTATATTTTGGACTATAGAATAGTCTATATTCTGGACTATAGAATAGTCTATATTCTGGACTATAGAATAGTCTATATTCTGGACTATAGAATAGTCTATATTCTGGACTATAGAATAGTTTATAGTCTGGACTATAGAATAGTCTATAGTATGGACTATAGAATAGTCTATAGTCTGGACTATAGAATAGTCTATAGTCTGGACTATAGAATAGTCTATAGTCTGGACTATAGAATAGTCTATAGTCTGGACTATAGAATAGTCTATAGTCTGGACTATAGAATAGTCTATAGTCTGGACTATAGAATAGTCTATAGTCTGGACTATAGAATAGTCTATAGTCTGGATTATAGAATAGTCTATAGTCTGGATTATAGAATAGTCTATAGTCTGGACTATAGAATAGTCTATAGTCTGGACTATAGAATAGTCTATAGTCTGGACTATAGAATAGTCTATAGTCTGGACTATAGAATAGTCTATAGTCTGGACTATAGAATAGTCTATAGTCTGGACTATAGAATAGTCTATAGACTGGACTATAGAATAGTCTATAGTCTGGACTATAGAATAGTCTATAGTCTGGACTATAGAATAGTCTATAGTCTGGACTATAGAATAGTCTATAGTTTGGACTATAGAATAGTCTATAGTCCAGACTATAGACTATTCTATAGTCCAGTCTATAGACTATTCTATAGTCCAGACTATAGACTATTCTATAGTCCAGACTATAGACTATTCTATAGTCCAGACTATAGAATAGTCTATATTCTGGTCTATAGAATAGTCTATATTCTGGACTATAGAATAGTCTATATTCTGGTCTATACAATAGTCTATAGTCTGGACCATACAATAGTCTATAGTCTGGACTATACAATAGTCTATATTCTGGACTATACAATAGTCTAGTCTATAGTCTGGACTATAGAATAGTCTATATTCTATACTATAGAATAGTCTATATTTTGGACTATAGAATAGTCTATATTATGGACTATAGAATAGTCTATATTCTGGACTATAGAATAGTCTATATTCTGGACTATAGAATAGTTTATAGTCTGGACTATAGAATAGTCTATTGTATGGACTATAAAATAGTCTAATAGTCTATAGTCTATATTTTGGACTATAGAATAGTCTATATTCTGGACTATAGAATAGTCTATATTCTGGACTATAGAATAGTCTATAGTCTGGACTATAGAATAGTCTATAGTATGGACTATAGAATAGTCTATATTCTGGACTATAGAATAGTTTATAGTCTGGACTATAGAATAGTCTATTGTATGGACTATAGAATAGTCTATAGTCTGGACTATAGAATAGTCTATAGTCTGGACTATAGAATAGTCTATAGTCTGGACTATAGAATAGTCTATAGTCTGGATTATAGAATAGTCTATAGTCTGGATTATAGAATAGTCTATAGTCTGGACTATAGAATAGTCTATAGTCTGGATTATAGAATAGTCTATATTCTGGACTATAGAATAGTCTATATTCTGGACTATACAATAGTCTATAGTCTGGACCATACAATAGTCTATAGTCTGGACTATACAATAGTCTATATTCTGGACTATACAATAGTCTATAGTCTGGACTATAGAATAGTCTATATTCTATACTATAGAATAGTCTATATTTTGGACTATAGAATAGTCTATATTCTGGACTATAGAATAGTCTATATTCTGGACTATAGAATAGTCTATATTCTGGACTATAGAATAGTCTATATTCTGGACTATAGAATAGTTTATAGTCTGGACTATAGAATAGTCTATTGTATGGACTATAGAATAGTCTATAGTCTGGACTATAGAATAGTCTATAGTCTGGACTATAGAATAGTCTATAGTCTGGACTATAGAATAGTCTATAGTCTGGACTATAGAATAGTCTATAGTCTGGATTATAGAATAGTCTATAGTCTGGATTATAGAATAGTCTATAGTCTGGATTATAGAATAGTCTATAGTCTGGACTATAGAATAGTCTATAGTCTGGATTATAGAATAGTCTATAGTCTGGACTATAGAATAGTCTATAGTCTGGACTATAGAATAGTCTATAGTCTGGACTATAGAATAGTCTATAGACTGGACTATAGAATAGTCTATAGTCTGGACTATAGAATAGTCTATAGTCTGGACTATAGAATAGTCTATAGTCTGGACTATAGAATAGTCTATAGTCTGGACTATAGAATAGTCTATAGTCTGGACTATAGAATAGTCTATAGTCTGGACTATAGAATAGTCTATAGTTTGGACTATAGAATAATCTATAGTCTGGACTACAGAATAGTCTATAGTATGGACTATAGTCCAGACTATAGACTATTCTATAATCCAGACTATAGACTATTCTATAGTCCAGACTATAGACTATTCTATAATCCAGACTATAGACTATTCTATAGTCCAGACTATTCTATAGTCTATAGTATGGACTATAGAATATTCTATAGTCTGGACTATATAATAGTCTATAGACTGGACTATAGAATAGTCTATAGTCTGGACTATAGAATAGTCTGTAGACTGGACTATAGAATAGTCTATAGACTGGACTATAGAATAGTCTATAGTCTGGACTATAGAATAGTCTGTAGACTGGACTATAGAATAGTCTATAGTCTGGACTATAGAATAGTCTATAGTCTGGACTATAGAATAGTCTACAGTCTAGACTATAGAATAGTCTATAGTCTGGACTATAGAATAGTCTATAGTCTGGACTATAGAATAGTCTATAGTCTGGACTATAGAATAGTCTACAGTCTAGACTATAGAATAGTCTATAGTCTGGACTATAGAATAGTCTATAGTCTGGACTATAGAATAGTCTATAGTCTGGACTATAGAATAGTCCATAGTCTGGACTATAGTATAGACCATAGTCTGGACTATAGTATAGACCATAGTCTGGACTATAGTATAGACCATAGTCTGGACTATAGTATAGACCATAGTCTGGACTATAGAATAGTCTATAGTCATGACTATACAATAGTCTATAGTCTGGACTATACAATAGTCTGTAGTCTGGACTATAGAATAGTCTATAGTCTGGACTATAGAATAGTCTATAGTCTGGACTATAGAATAATCTATAGACTGGACTATAGAATAGTCTATAGACTGGACTATAGAATAGTCTATAGTCTGGACTATAGAATAGTCTGTAGACTGTTGATCAGATTATGTTCTGTTTGATAGTAGTGGAACTATACCAGATTAGTGACTTCTATTGAAGATTAATTGAACACTTAAAAGTCCTGCAACTTTAAACATTTCATATAACTTTCAATTGCGTGTTTTAAAACTGCAAGTGTAAAATAGTCGTAAATTATTCTCTGACAATACTGGCAAAAGGTCTTTAAAAGTTATATTTTATATAATTTACATAAAAATGCAATTACAAGTGCTAAACACTCTAAAGAAATCGTGCAAGTGGACACTTTTGCTTTTAAAAATTAAGTATGTATTCCTTTAAGTTTAAAGCAAATAAGCTAGCACCACAAGTCATGGCAAAAACTTATAAAAAAAAAACACCACCTGCATAATAGTTATAGACTTAGTAAATCATAGTTTCTATTAGACCTTATATTATGCAGCTCCTAACAGTCTGTTATTAATACAAATATTTAGTCAATTAAATAGCGTGAGAACTTTTTAGAATATTGATTGATGTGTTTGTATATACTACAATATGCTTAAAGCTATTAAAAATACTGTCCAGACCTTCCCCTGCAGTTGTTTGGTTTTTTTTTTCGAAGTAAACATGTGAACTAGAGGTTTCAAAAGCAAATGTTGGCTGAAGGCCATAACTACTAGAGCTCTTATTCTTATGTTATGAATTTAAAATAACAGTCTAGTCTATAGTCCAGTTTAAAGTCTAGTCCATAGTCCAGTCTATAGTCGAGTCTATCGTCTAGTCTAGCCTATAGTCTAGTATACAGCCTATAGTCAAGTATATAGTCTAGTATATAGTATTAGTCTATAATTTAGTCTATAATCTAGTCTATAGTCTAGTCTATAGTCTAAGTATATAGTCTAGTCTATAGTCTAGTATATAGTCTATAGTCTAGTCTATAGTCTAGTCTACAGTCTAGTCTATAGTCTAGTCTACAGTCTAGTCTATAGTCTAGTCTATAGTCTAGTCTAGTCTACAGTCTAGTCTATAGTCTAGTCTATAATCTAGTCTATAGTCTAGTCTATAGTCTAGTTTATAGTCTAGTCTATAGTCTAGTCTACAGTCTAGTCTAAAGTCTAGTCTATAGTCTAGTCTATAGTCTAGTTTATAGTCTAGTCTATAGTCTAGTCTATAGTCTAGTCTACAGTCTAGTCTATAGTCTAGTCTATAGTCTCGTCTACAGTCTAGTCTGCAATCTAGTCAATAGTCTAGTCTCTATAGTCTAGTCTATAGTCTAGTCTATAGTCTAGTCTATAGTCTAGTCTATAGTCTAGTCTATAGTCTAGTCTAGTCTATAGTCTAGTCTATAGTCTAGTCTATAGTCTAGTCTAGTCTGTAGTCTAGTCTATAGTCTAGTCTATAGTCTAGTCTATAGTTTAGTCTATAGTCTAGTCTATAGTCTAGTCTATAGTCTAGTCTATAGTCTAGTCTAGTCTAGTCTACAGTCTAGTCTAGTCTATAGTCTAGTCTATAGTCTAGTCTATAGTCTAGTCTATAGTCTAGTCTATAGTCTAGGGTCTAGGGTCTAGTCTATAGTCTAGTCTATAGTCTAGTCAATAGTCTAGTCTATAGTCTAGTCTATAGTCTAGTCTATAGTCTAGTCTATAGCCTAGTCTAGAGTCTATTCTATAGTCTAGTCTATAGCCTAATATATAGTCTAGTCTATAGTCTAGTCTATAGTCTAGTCTATAGTCTAGTCTATAGTCTAGTCTATAGTCTAGTCTATAGTCTAGTCTATAGTCTAGTCTATAGTCTAGTCTATAGTCTAGTCTATAGTCTAGTCTATAGTCTAGTCTATAGTCTAGTCTATAGTCTAGTCTATAGTCTAGTCTATAGTCTAGTCTATAGTCTAGTCTATAGTCTAGTCTATAGTCTAGTCTATAGTCTAGTCTATAGTCTAGTCTATAGTCTAGTCTATAGTCTAGTCTATAGTCTAGTCTATAGTCTAGTCTATAGTCTAGTCTATAGTCTAGTCTATAGTCTAGTCTATAGTCTAGTCTATAGTCTAGTCTATAGTCTAGTCTATAGTCTAGTCTATAGTCTAGTCTATAGTCTAGTCTATAGTCTAGTCTATAGTCTAGTCTATAGTCTAGTCTATAGTCTAGTTTATAGTCTAGTCTATGGTCTAGTTTATAGTCTAGTCTATAGTCCCGTCCATATTTTAGTCTATAGTCTAGTCCGTGCTCTAGCTTATATTCTAGTTTATAGTCTGGTCTATGATCTAGACTACGGTCTAGTCTATGTTCTAAGCTATAGTCTAGGTAATAGTCAAATTTTTACTTAAAATTTATATTTTCACTAGAATTTGAAAACATTTCATTTAAATTTTTTTTAGTTATATTGCTTTTTATTTCGTTTTTTTAGAAATCCTCCCCCTTTTCACTTCTGTACAGATTTCTATGGAGTGTCGAATGCAGTTGTGGAGTGACGTGTTTGACTGATTAAATGTTTTTAAGCAACTAATTAAAAAGGAAACATAGTTAATATATACAAAAGTAACGATATAGTTTTGAGGTTAGAAAACAATTAATTTTGAGGTTAAAAAAGGGGTTGAAGATATTAAAAGGAAAGTTTGGCACAAGCTACAAATATTTGTTTAGAAAAATAAACCCATTAAAACATACATAACTTAATTTTCTAAGAAAATGTTTTTAATTTGAGGTTATATACAAATTTAATATTTGGTAATGTTATATCGAATAATAGCATATATTTTGAAAATATATACGCATTTTAAAGACAATCGCCTAGTTCCACTTAATCCTGCATTTTAAGTATATACTTCTTGCCCGTAAAACCCTTAAAATTTAAAGCAGCTGCAGCAGCATCCTTAAAGTTTTCCATAGGCACCAATTCATGTACGGGGGCAACAAATTTCTGCTGTTCCATTAAGTCACACAATTCTTTAAACATTTCCGCACGTTCAGGTGAATGAGGATTTTCTTTGGTCCATCTGGTCATCCAGAAACCACGAAAAGCTAAATCTTTAAAAATCAAAGCAGCTGTGGCAGCTATAACCGGTTCGCGTGACATGCCACCATAAGTAACCATAACACCCTTGTCAGCCAAGTGGCGGGTGACTTCAGTGGCGCTTTTACCTCCAACACAATTAAAGGCCAGTTTAGGTTTGGGCAGTTTACCTTCTTTAAATAGGGTGCAAGTGCGTATTTCTTCTTCGGTTAGAATTTCCGTAGCACCCAAAGATTTTAAATAAGATTTTAATTGTTCTATATCTGGCCGGGATCTTACCACACCCACCGATTTTAAGCCCCAAGCGTTGCACAATTGATGTACTGCTTGTCCCACAGCACTATTGGCACCATTTTGTATGACACAATCACCGGGAGAAAGTTTAACGAAATCTTTAAGCATGCGATAAGCAGTACAGGGATTTACGGTTATGGTTGCTGCTTCAGCCAAACCAATTTTATTGGATACGGGCATTAACTGCTCCTCCGAGAAAACAGCATGAGTGGTCCAGGTGCCAATGCCGGTAACATAAGGCACTACACGCTGGCCTTTGGATAAACTCTTAACATCAGCTCCCACTTCCACAATCTCGGCAACACACTCATTACCAGCCGTAGCAGGAAACTTAGGTTTTACTGGATATTTACCTATGTGCACCAAAGCAAAACATTAAAAATCCATTACATTTTCAATTTCAACCCTAAATGACTCACCTTGTATGGTATTTATATCGGCTGGATTAATAGGTGCCGCCAATATTTTCACCAGCACTTGTTTATTTTGCGGCTTTTCTAGCTGTTGCTCCACCAATTGCAAAACATCAGCCGGCTCACCGTGTTCGTTATACTTTATGGATTTAGCTAAAATAGACATTTGCCTTAAACCTTTTAATGAATTTAGGCTTGTTAAGGGATTAGGGGTTCCTTTTAACAATTGTAAATGTTTAAATAACATAATGGCTGCTTATAGTTTCTAGTTAATTGTAATTATTGCAATAATTGTTATGAAATAATTCGTTTTTTTCGTAAAAAACTGTTTAATTAAACAGCTGTTGTTTGTTTATATGGTTTGAAAAGGGATGCCAGAGATAGACATGAAATAAGAGATGCCAGAGAAAAATGTGGCGCTTAAAAATAAATATTGCCAGCTAAAAGTCAAATATTGCCACTTAAAATTATTGCCATGAAAATTTAACTCCATTCAGCTATCTGAATTACATTAGAAATCATCAAAGTAAATTTATAAAGTAGACTCATTTGAACAGCTGACTATTTTTTTTAAACTTGCTATTTGTGGACTTACTTGTCAAAAATGTTTATGTTGCCATATTTGTTTTCATTTTAACGCTTGCTTTTGTACAAATTTCTGAGTAATTTGTTGTATTTAATGTGAAAAAGTGTATTTTAAGTGTATAATATTTTTAAAAATGTTCTAATTTTTAAAAAATAAAGAAAACTCTGTGACTTGTAATATAAATAACAACATATTTTTGGAAAGTACAACAATAATGCCATATTTTCCATTAATTATTGGTTCATTTTTGTAAACAAATTTTGACAAGTGAGTATTTCGAACAAAAACAAATTGCCTGTGGTTTTTGTAGACGTTTGTTGTACAACAACTCGTGTCGCTACTTTATTAATTTACTTTGGAAATCATTATAGATTAAAAAATATGTACACATTTAATTAAAAAATTTGCTAAATTAAAGCTGAATTCATATTTCAACGTTAAATGTAAAATTTTTAATATTAAAGATTTTATTTTCTATACAAACACTTTTTTATACGAAAACTTATATACATATGTATACATTAGAAAAAATTGTCTATAGAAAAATTACAATTTTGAATAGGAAAAAACATTATACGGAAAATCTTTCGAAAACAAACTATTATATTTAAAGGAAAACATTTAAAATGTTAAAAAATTATAAAAAAAATTTTGTGAAAAAATGATCTCTTAAATTCAAGTTTTCAATTAATTCTGATATTTTTCTACACAAATATTAATATTTTACAAAATTTTACTTAAATTTACCTTAAAAAGTTGTTTAGAATAAAATTTTCTTTAATTTATGATAAAAACGTAATTGCCATAACTGAAAATGATTTTCGTAGAATTTTTATACTGGCAATACTGTAAAGCACGCTTCAAATGTCTGGCATCTCATTACTAGCTGACATTTTGAAATTTAACTGCAGCCAACTTCATTTATTTCCTCCTCACATCATTTCTTTTGGAATTTGCATCTCGTGGAAGGTAGGTGTTTTTTTTTCGACAAATGGTAGTGGAAAATAGAAAAATTAAAGTGAATGAAAAATATAAGAAAATATAAATTACACGTGATGATATATATACTGGCCTTGCACCATTCTGAAGCTTTCACCAAAAGCATCTTTAGTGTTGATACGGCAGAACTGATCCAAAACCAGAATTCATAAAACAATTTTTAGTGAAACAAATTTTACTTTGATTTGTGTGAAAAACTATGATAATTAATTAACATTTTAATTTTAGAAGCCATTCCAATACCATACACACAAAACAATCACAAAAATGTCTATTCTCCATGAATTATATTCGCGGATAGACCGATGATGTGACAGTTATTTAAAAACAAATAACATTTACTTGAATTTGTTACTAGGTCTATCTTCAACATGGGTGCCTACCGTTATATGCAGGAATTGTACAGGAAGAAGCAAAGTGATGTTATGCGTTACTTGCTTCGCATCCGCGTGTGGCAATACCGTCAATTGACCAAGTTGCACCGCTCTCCCAGACCCACCCGTCCCGACAAGGCTCGTCGTTTGGGTTACAAGGCCAAACAAGGTTTCGTCATCTACAGAATCCGTGTACGTCGCGGTGGTCGCAAACGTCCCGTACCCAAGGGTTGCACTTATGGCAAGCCCAAGAGTCATGGTGTCAACGAATTGAAACCATACCGTGGTTTGCAATCCATTGCTGAGGTAAGAAACGTTTTTTTATTTTAATAATAAAACCCTTGGTTAACCTAATCCTTTAGTTTAACCTTGTAACAAATCTAATAATAGAACCACTTGTAATGATGCTAACTTTCTGCTATGTGAGAATAAATAATGTTGACCCACATATCCTTCCTTAGATGTCTGATTGCTTGTTTACTTAAACAATCTTGAATGCATTTTCATTTGTTTAGTAAAATTACTAATAAAATTTTTATATTTTCTTCTTCTAGGAACGTGTTGGCCGCAGATTGGGAGGTTTGCGTGTATTGAACTCCTACTGGGTTGCCCAAGATGCTTCCTACAAATACTTCGAAGTTATCTTGGTTGATACCCATCACAATGCCATCCGTCGTGATCCCAAGATCAACTGGATCTGCAAGCACGTTCACAAACATCGTGAACTTCGTGGTTTGACCTCCGCCGGCAAGAGCTCCCGTGGTATTGGCAAGGGTTACAGATACTCTCAAACTATTGGTGGTTCTCGTCGTGCTGCCTGGAAGCGCAAGAACCGTTTGAACATGCACAGAAAACGTTAAGATGTTTAGACTTTTTTAGCGTGTTGACAATGATAAGAGTTCTGAATAAAAACAGTTATTTTATAAATACCTAACAGAAACTTTGCGAGTTTTCTTTCTTTTTTTGGTGGTTTAGTTGTGGGAATTGGGAAATCTTTGTTTACTATAATCTACCCTATAGTGCTGATTATATTATATTCTATAGTACAGGGTATAGTCTTATATAGATGCGATAGTCCATACATATAGCCTATACGACAGTCCAAACTGTAGCCTATGCTATAGTCCATTCTATAGTCTATGCTATAATCCAGATTATTGTCTATGCGATAGTCCAGATTATAGTCTATGCTATAGTTTAGACTGAAGTCTATTCTATGATCAAGATTATTGACTATACTATAGTCTATTTCACTCGAGAGGTTTAAATTTTAATATGGTTGTCTTTTTTCCCAGAATGACAATTTAAAAATAAAATAAATTTATTAAAAAATCTTAAAATTTAGTTTATTTGCAAAATGTTTCTAAAAAATTTACTGAAATCTCGCTCAAGTTCCTATAATTTCCAAAAACGCTTTATAAAAACTTTGTCCTTAAAGTTCAGCGGTAATGGTGAGCCCACGCAGGTTTTGGAAATGGTGGAGGAAGAATTGCCCGAACCAGAGAATAATCAAGTTTTGGTAAGGGTATTAATGGCACCCATCAATCCCTCGGATATTAATATAATACAAGGTGTTTGGAAAAATAACTTTAAAAAGGCTTTAACTGTTAACTTAAAGTTTTGCTTATTGTAGGTAGATATCCCTTACAACCTGCCCAACTACCAGCCACTGCTGGCAATGAATTTGTAGGCGAAATAGTACAAATGGGTGATAAGGTGGAAAATTTTGCCATAAAAGAACAGGTAGTGGCTTATGAATCAGGTTTGGGTACATGGAGCCAATATTTACTACTGAACGCTGAACAAATTTATGCGGTGCCTTATGAGTTACCTTTAACGGCAGCAGCCACTTTAACAATCAATCCCTGCACAGCCTATCGCATGTTGAAAGATTTTGTCAAACTAAAACCGGGAGATTGTATAATACAAAATGGCGCCAATAGTGCGGTGGGTCAAGCAGTTCATCAATTGTGTAAATATTGGGGTTTGAAATCAGTGGGAGTGGTTAGAGAACGTCCTGAACTGGTAAAACTAAAACAAGATTTATTAAGATTAGGGGCCACAGAAATTTTCACCGAGGAGGAGCTAGTTAAGACTCAACTCTTCAAAAATGGTTGCTTGCCTAAGCCACGTTTGGCCTTAAATTGTGTGGGCGGTGAAAGTGCCAGCAATATAGCCAAACTTTTAGATTATCAGGGTATAATGGTAACCTATGGTGGTATGGCAAGAAAACCTATTTCCGTGCCTATAGGACCTTTAATTTTTAAAAAACATATCTATCAAGGATTTTGGATTACCGAATGGGTGAAGCGTAATAAATGTACTTGGGTAAGATCTTATATGTTAAAGGATATAATACAGTTAATGTTGGGTAAAGAGTTTATAGCACCTAAACACACCCTAATACCTTTCCAACAATATAAGGCACATGCCCAGCAAGCTTTAACACTGGCCAGTAAGACTAATAGGAAATTTATATTTGATATGAGGGAAAATGAATGTAATTAGATCAAAAAAATATATCAAATTCCCCGAATTAATTGCGTTTTATTTAGAAAAAATAAATCAAAAATTCAGTTATTTATTTTATAAAAAAATGTATAATTTAAGAAAGTTTAGCAAAAATCCTTTGCAATAAAAGAAAATTAAAACAGTATTTCAAGAATGTTTGTTACAAAACCCTTTAGCCCAAAAAACCTTCCAAAGATAAATGAGTATAAGAAGGTGTGCAATATAAGAATATATAAATTGAAAATAAAAATGTAAGTTCAGTATAAAAAAAAAGAAATAAACAAAATTTGCCCAAAAAATGGAATACATACTTAACAAATAGGTTGGTGTGATTAATAAACAAATATATAATAATATAATACTATATTCTGTTAATTGTAGTAACTAAACGGTTATAAATTCCTTAGATATAAAATTAAGTCATGTTTAGAGATGTTTTTCTATGATTCGGTTGTTAAAGGCAGGATTAATCATAAAATTTACGTTTCTTAAGAGTGGATTTCATGGGAGTGGCTGAAAAGATACAAGGAAAAAGAAATTATTAAAGTTTTAGGCTATTTTATAAAAGTATATTCTATAGTCCAGACTATAGACAAAAGTCCAAAAATACAACTCACCATATAAAGAAAACACCGTATCCTTATTATGGCTTGGTGTTCGTGTTAAAGTTGAGCCACTCTGATAATTTTCCTTCGCCTCACCCAGAGAAACAAATTGTGTCCAGTATTCAAAAGGTATCTTCAATAAATTCAACATTACCATATATTGAGTATAGACTTCAGTAAAGATGGCATGTTGATCGGGATCTGGTGAAGAATAACCCACTATAGTGGGACCGAAAACACGAGCAATATTATCCAAAGGCATTAAAACTTCACGACACTCAGCAATACGTTGAAAATGTAAAATCAAAAAAGCCAAAGTATCACGATTTGTTTGAGGCATGGCCTCTACCGCCTTATATAGATCCGTTTGTATATCCTGTTCGGAGGGATTTTGGACGGCATTACAGAAATCTTTCCACAGACTTGTGGGTATTAAAGGTTCGCGCAAAGAACGCAAGAAATCTTTAATGCAACCACACAGAACATGGATATCAATATTGGACAATTGAGGAGGAGTTTTGCCGCGTAAGAAACGATCTTTCAAGGCCTTAATTTCACGTTCTGAACCGGAGACACGATAAATGCCCACCTCATTAAGACCTCTAGATTCGATTTCATTGACACAGTGGACAATAAGGGCTGGTATTAAAGGCGCCATGGATGGAGCATAATCGCTTATATAACCCATAAGGCCTTTGAAAACTGGAGTACCGGCTGTGGGCATACACATGATGGTAAGTAAAGGACGACAGTCGGTATGACAGCGTACAGGGCAGTCACGACAACGTAAGCCCACTGAACCAAAACGGATTCTAAAAGAGAACAAAGGAATTTGTTTAAAAATTGTTCTTTTTTTTTAAATATATTTTCCTGAATACTTACTTCTTCTGACATTGAGTACACATTTCCGCTCGAATAAAGGTTTTACTAACAAAATTGTGTAAACGTTTGAGAGTACCTGCTGAACGTAAATTGTGATTCATAGGAGAATCCATGTTATTATTAGCTGGAGTCATGGGTGGTGCAGTGGCCTCCTTAAATGGCGTTTTGCGTGGTGTAGAACAAGGGCCTCCACTCAAACACTCCTCTTCCTCCGGCTCATCTGCTTGGTGTACTATAACCGGTACAGTTTCTATGGTCGATTCAGCACGTATGGCACCATTGCCATCTTGTGGTATGGTAACCTTGGTGGTAGCACATATACGTTCCGCCCCCAATTCGTTATCAATAGTATGCTGTTGCAAAGCCACATTACTGCGTCTGGAGGAACGCCTGCGACCGGAGGGTGCGGCCATTTGTGCATTAGATTTGGAGTTACTCAAACGACTTCTTTTACTTCTAGGCAGAGTTCTGGCTGGACGTATATCTAGGAAATCATCTTCCGATTGGGTAATCGACAAATCTGACAAAAAACTGCCCGTGGAATTAATATCATTACCATATTTCTCCTCCAAATGAGTATTTAATGACTTCCGCTTTCTGGACAATGTATTCAAAAAGGCCAACTTGTCTTTGGTCTCATTTTTAAGATTGTTTTCATGCTGCAACAAATCGGCCACGGCCACTATTTTCTTTTCCATTTGATCGCGTTCATATTCGGCCTCTTTGCGTGCTTTACTTTCCATTTCCAGCAATCGGCGGGCATGAAACAGTTTAGTTTCCAAATCAGCCATGGATTGTAGTGAAGCATCTAGTTCTTTTTGTATGCGTTGAGCCTCTTGTGCTCTGGCTATGCATTCCAATTGCATTTTTTCTTGTAGCTGTAAAATCTTAAGAAATTCTTCTTCTGCTGTACCATCAATTAAAACATGGACACAGCGTCTTAGATCATCGAAGGTGGCCAATGTGGATAACGTTGTGGTGGTCATTTTGCTTTTGTTTATAGATTTCTCGGAAATTTAAGTAATACTTTTATGTTTAATCCATAAGATTTTTACCAAATGTATTTTGTTTTTTTTATAAAATCTTTATGAAAATTGTATTTTCTAAGAAATTTTCTTATCTTATTGTATTTTGCGCGTGCTAATCCTGTTTTTTTAAAACGCCGTTTGAAAAAAGAGGAAAAAATTTCTTGCAGCTGCGTTGTTTTTGTTTTCAAATAGAAAAAAGGAACAGAGTTGCATCTGCATATGACAATTATAGAAGAGTTGTATTTTTATAGCTTCAAGCTATAAAAGTGACAGAGTTGTATTTTATAAATATTATATTTAGAATCACGCACGAAGTTATTTTTGTTATTTAGATTTTGTTGTGTTCTGGGGGATAGGTGATTATACAAAAAAAATTAATGTAAATATTATTGTGGGAGAATAAAATAGCAGTGGTGATATTATGCTTTAATAATTAAAAAAATATAGAAAAATTAATGTAAAAATATGTACTTATGAGCAAAGTATTAATCTAAATAATAAAAGGCTTAAAATGTCTTTTAAACGAAACCATTTAACGCCTGTAGTTACGCTTTCATTGTGTTTATATCGTTATCATTGTTCTTTTTGCATATTTTCTCTCTTTATTTAACTTAATGATCATTTACTCTATTATCTTGAGTTCATTTAGCAAAATTTTTTATTCTAAAAAACATTCCTTCTCCAGTGTTCGTGGCGTGAGTGTTAATTTTTTATTATTATTAAAAGTTGTTGCTGTCTTTAAAATTTTACTTTGTTAAGTAATCAGTAGACTTTAATTAACTTAATTGTATTTTTATTTCAATTTATAGTAGAAGTATATCCTAGAAATATGGCTCAAATTGCTAAAATCTTTGCTGGACGTGCCCAACAAGTCTTGCAAACTGCTGCCAAACAACCTCAATTGGCCCCACGTTTCTACTGTGCTGCTGGTAAGTTCTAGTCTAGTTTTTTTTATAGGTATTTATGGAAATTTTTATCAGTACCCCAGACTGCTAGTGCAAGATTGTAATAATTAAAAAAGATTGCAATTTTATAAGGAGTGTTTATTTATTTTTTTGCATTGATTAAAAAGAAGCAGACATAAGACCACACCGACCGGCTTTGTTATATTGTTGTTGTCTTTTGCATTTCCAATCAATTATAAGACTTTATACCTCTTATAAACGGCATACTAATGTTTATTATTACGTAATAATATAAAAAGTTTTTCTTATTAGTTTTATCTATTATTAAACAAATAAATTTGCCAACTACTTTAGTTATTTCATAATTTTTAAAGAAAAATGCACATTTTCTATAAGAAATTCAGTAATATTTAGATTATTACAATTGATTACAATGTTTTTAGTTGTTATTTATGTGTTTTTTTGCTTTTTTGTTTAAGATTTGTATAAAAAATGTGAGTAAATTAAATAAGCTTAATTTTAAGGGGAAAATAAATAAAAATTCCTTAACTAAATTTGGCAGCACTTTTTATAATGTCACAGGATTATGACAGATTACAGTAATTTTTATTGAGATGCCAGACGGCAAAACTTTCCATGTAGAATGTCGGTAAACTGTAGTTGTGCATCTTATTGTAATCGAAATAATAAAATTTTTAGATAAATCAACAATTTTCATAATTTTTCTGTAATTTTAGCCAACAACTTCCAATACATCAAAACCGAATTGGCTGGTGAAAAGAAAAATGTTGCTGTCATCACTTTGAACCGTCCCAAGGCTTTGAATGCCTTGTGCAATGGTTTGATTGCCGAAATCAACACCACTTTGGATAAATACGAAAAGGATGACAGCGTTGCCGCCATTGTCATCACTGGCAGCGAGAAGGCTTTCGCCGCTGGTGCCGATATCAAGGAAATGCAACCTAACACTTATGAAAAGTGCATTATGGGCAATTTCTTGAACGATTGGACCCGTGTTGCCAAATGCCAAAAACCCATTATTGCTGCCGTTAACGGTTACGCCTTGGGTGGTGGCTGTGAATTGGCCATGATGTGCGATATCATCTATGCTGGTGATAAGGCCAAGTTTGGTCAACCTGAAATTGCTTTGGGTACCATTCCCGGTGCTGGTGGCACCCAACGTTTGACCCGTGTTGTAGGCAAATCTAAGGCTATGGAAATGTGCTTGACCGGTAACATGATTAATGCTGCTGAAGCCGAAAAAATGGGTTTGGTTAGCAAGGTTGTTGCTGCCGATCAATTGGTTTCGGAAGCCGTTAAATTGGGTGAGAAAATCGGCACCCACTCCCAATTGATTGTACAATTGTGCAAGGAAGCTGTTAACACTGCCTACGAGACCACCTTGCAAGAAGGTTTGAAATATGAAAGAAGAACTTTCCACGCCACTTTTGCTACTGTAAGTTTTTTAGTTGTTAAATTGCTACTTTTTCAATTTCCTTACTTTATTATTTTTTATAATTTCAGGGTGACCGTAAAGAAGGTATGACCGCTTTTGTTGAAAAGCGTCCCGCTAAATTCAACAACAACTAAATGTTTTGTTTTCAAAAAATGTTAAAAAAAAAGTTCTATATTTTTATAATGTTAGTTATTTTTCCATTACCAGTAATGCATTTATAAATATTATTGCGAAAACCAAGTTTTCAGTTTTTTAAAATACAAATAAGAATAAAATTTCAAGATATTTTTCAAAAAATTTTTGAATTTTAATGGGTAATAGTGTCCAGGAAAAACAAATATCACAGTTTTTTAATAACTCCTGGGACCTTAAACAGAATAATTGGAATTTTTTTAATTTAAACGTTTAATTAGACATAACTGTCGATATTTTATATAAAATCTTATTATCAGGGTTGTATTTACATGTACTAATGATCATGTTTGTTTATTTATTTAAAAGGGGATCTTGAGAGGTGCAACAATATTAAAATTATTATTAGATTTCTTATCGTAATTGCAAAGAACATTTATTTACTCTATATGATCACTTCAGACAAGACAAAGTTCATTTCGAAACAATAATCCAAAACAGTTAAGGTCTGTAAATTTGACAAATAATTCAGAGAGGTTTGCAAAAGTAATATGAAACTTTCTTATTCTATAACATAGCTGCTGTTTGTTCTAGTTGTTTCGGTTTCCCTTTTATAGTAAAATATGGCTCAAATTCCAAAATTATTTGCCGGTCCTGTTCAACGGGTCTTACGAGCGGCTCTCAAAACACAACACATATCTGGTCGATCTTATTGCGGTAAGTTTTAAGAATAGTTTAAAAAAGTATTGTCTGAACTATAGTCTAGTTTAATCTAGAGTCTAGTCTATAAACTGGTCTATAATTTAGTCTATAGCCTGTACTATAGTCTAGTCTATAGCCTAGTCTATAGTCTAATCTACAGCATAGTCTATTGTCTAGTCTATAGCCTAGTCTATAATCTAGTCTACAGCCTAGTCTATAGTCTAGTCTATAGCCTAGTCTATAGTCTAGTCTATAGCCTAGTCTATAGTCTAGTCTATAGCCTAGTCTATAGTCTAGTCTATAGTCTAGTTTATAGTCTGGTCTATAGTCTAAAATCAAGTCTCTATAATTTCCTTTAATTGCTATTTTTTCCTTTCAAATCTCAGCCTCTAATCTCCATTATCTCAAAACACAATTGGTGGGTGAAAAGAAAAATGTTGCCCTAATTACTCTGAACCGTCCCAAGGCCTTGAATGCTTTGTGCAATGGTTTAATGTGTGAACTTAACTCCACTTTGGATAAATATGAAAAAGATGAGAGTATAGCTGCCTTTATAATTACCGGCAGTGAGAAGGCCTTTGCTGCTGGTGCCGATATCAAAGAAATGGAGTATAAAACTTATGATAAGCTAATCATGGACGCCACTGCCAGTGATTGGTCTCGTATAGCCAAATGCCAAAAACCCCTTATAGCTGCAGTTAATGGTTATGCCTTGGGTGGTGGCTGTGAATTGGCCATGATGTGTGACATTATTTATGCGGGCGATAAGGCTAAATTTGGGCAACCGGAAATAGCTTTGGGTACTATACCCGGTGCTGGGGGTACGCAACGTTTGACTCGCGTTGTAGGGAAACCCAAGGCCATGGAAATGTGTTTAACGGGTAATATGATTAGTGCCGAGGAAGCGGAAAGACGGGGTTTGGTAAGTAAGGTAGTGCCTGCTGATAAACTTTTGGAAGAAGCTATTAAAGTGGGTGAAAAAATTGCCAGTTACTCTCAATTAACTGTACAGTTGTGTAAGGAAGCAATTAATATGGCTTATGAATCTAATTTGCAAGAGGGTTTGAAATTTGAAAAACGAATTAATCATGCAACTTTTGCAACGGTAAATCATAGGTTTATTTATGGTTTAAATTTAAAATATACATTTATTCTAATTTTAGCAAGATATCCGGGAAGGTATGGCGGCTTTTATGGAAAGACGTCCAGCTAAATTTAATAACAAATAAAATAGTTTAAAAAAATTAAAAAATTTTAAAAAATTAAAGCGAAAATGTCTCTTTTTTACATAGACTATAGAACGTACTGAGGTTTGGAGTACAGGGCTATAAAAATACTAGACTATAGATTAGACTATATACTAAACTATAGACCAGATCATAAATTAGACAGTAAACTAGATTAAGCTATAGACAATACTATAGACAATGCTATAGACAAGACTATAGACTAGACTATAGACTAGACTATATACTAGACTATAGACTAGACTAGACTAGACTAGACTAGACTATAGACTATAGACTGTAGACTATAGACTGTAGACTATAGACTGTAGACTGTAGACTAGACTATAGACTAGACTAGACTATAGAGTATAGACTATAGACTGTAGACTATAGACTAGACTATAGACTAGACTATAGACTAGACTATAGACTAGACTATAGACTGTAGACTATAGACTAGACTATAGACTAGACTATAGACTAGACTATAGACTAGACTATAGACTAGACTATAGACTAGACTATAGACTAGACTATAGACTAGACTATAGACTAGTCTATAGACTAGACTATAGACTAGACTATAGACTAGACTATAGACTAGACTATAACTAGACTATAGACTAGACTAGACTAGACTAGACTATAGACTAGACTAGACTATAGACTAGACTAGACTATAGACTAGACTAGACTATAGACTAGACTAGACTATAGACTAGACTAGACTATAGACTAGACTATAGACTAGACTATAGACTAGACTATAGACTAGACTATAGACTAGACTATAGACTAGACTATAGACTAGACTATAGACTAGACTATAGACTAGACTATAGACTAGACTATAGACTAGACTATAGACTAGACTATAGACTAGACTATAGACTAGACTATAGACTAGACTATAGACTAGACTATAGACTAGACTATAGACTAGACTATAGACTAGACTATAGACTAGACTATAGACTAGACTATAGACTAGACTATAGACTAGACTATAGACTAGACTATAGACTAGACTATAGACTAGACTATAGACTAGACTATAGACTAGACTAGACTAGACTATAGACTAGACTATAGACTAGACTATAGACTAGACTATAGACTAGACTATAGACTAGACTATAGACTAGACTATAGACTAGACTATAGACTAGACTATAGACTAGACTATAGACTAGACTATAGACTAGACTATAAACTAGACTATAGACTAGACTAGAGACTAGACTATAGACTAGACTATAGACTAGACTGTAGACTAGACTATAGACTAGACTAGAGACTAGACTATAGACTAGACTATAGACTAGACTATAGACTAGACTATAGACTAGACTATAGACTAGACTATAGACTAGACTATAGACTAGACTATAGACTAGACTATAGACTAGACTATAGACTAGACTATAGACTAGACTATAGACTAGACTATAGACTAGACTATAGACTAGACTATAGACTAGACTATAGACTAGACTATAGACTAGACTATAGACTAGACTATAGACTAGACTATAGACTAGACTATAGACTAGACTAGACTATAGACTAGACTATAGACTAGACTATAGACTAGACTATAGACTAGACTATAGACTAGACTATAGACTAGACTATAGACTAGACTATAGACTAGACTATAGACTAGACTATAGACTAGACTATAGACTAGACTATAGACTAGACTATAGACTAGACTATAGACTAGACTATAGACTAGACTATAGACTAGACTATAGACTAGACTATAGACTAGACTATAGACTAGACTATAGACTAGACTATAGACTAGACTATAGACTAGACTATAGACTAGACTATAGACTAGACTATAGACTAGACTATAGACTAGACTATAGACTAGACTATAGACTAGACTATAGACTAGACTATAGACTAGACTATAGACTAGACTATAGACTAGACTATAGACTAGACTATAGACTAGACTATAGACTAGACTATAGACTAGACTATAGACTAGACTATAGACTAGACTATAGACTAGACTATAGACTAGACTATAGACTAGACTATAGACTAGACTATAGACTAACTATAGACTAGACTATAGACTAGACTAGACTAGACTATAGACTAGACTATAGACTAGACTATAGACTAGACTATAGACTAGACTATAGACTAGACTATAGACTAGACTATAGACTACTATAGACTAGACTATAGACTAGACTATAGACTAGACTATAGACTAGACTATAGACTAGACTATAGACTAGACTATAGACTAGACTATAGACTAGACTATAGACTAGACTATAGACTAGACTATAGACTAGACTATAGACTAGACTATAGACTAGACTATAGACTAGACTATAGACTAGACTATAGACTTGACTATAGACTAGACTATAGACTAGACTATAGACTAGACTATAGACTAGACTATAGACTAGACTATAGACTAGACTATAGACTAGACTATAGACTAGACTATAGACTAGACTATAGACTAGACTATAGACTAGACTATAGACTAGACTATAGACTAGACTATAGACTAGACTCTAGACTAGACTATAGACTAGACTCTAGACTAGACTCTAGACTAGACTCTAGACTAGACTATAGACTAGACTATAGACTAGACTATAGACTAGACTATAGGCTAGACTATAGACTAGACTATAGACTAGTCTATAGTCTAGTCTATAGACTATAGACTAGAATAGACTAGACTATACTGTAGTCTGGAGAATAGATAATAGTCGGGTGCTATAAACTTGTCTATGGTCTTTTTGATTTGTTTAAAGTTTTATATTTACCTCTCTTTTTACGGTTTTAATTTCTACACTAAACTTTGGTTAAACTTTCTAAGTTTAAATTGCGTTCTATATTCTGTTATGTTATAGAAAAAGCTTTCTTGAAAGCTTGTTTTTTTAACTAACAACATCTGTTTGCATTTTAGTATTAATATTTTTTGGACAAAAAACAAATCAGTTCGATTAAGGTTTTGTTGTGATAACACGAGCGCTTTGTTAAAGCGTTTCAAAGAAATAATTAAATAGAAATAATAATAAACAAATATTTAATAAATAATAAAATAAATAATAAAAATAGTTAAATAAACTCAAATTTAATGTAAAATTAAAAAAGTAAACAACATAAAAACTCTAATAAATAGATGAAATAATAATAATACGTATACGCCTCCCTTTATATTTATAGGTAGAAAAAAAACGTATTCAAAAGAGAGAACAACTTATACACACATATTTTCCTTTAGAGTATACACACACATACATACATATTAACATACAAACAAACATTCCTAAGGAGCAAAAATTTTACTATAACAAGGAGATAAAGAAAAAAAAATCATATAATAAAACTAAGAACAAGCATAAAAGCTAGAGCAAAAGCAAGTTACAGTTAGAAAGAAGAGGAGAGAGAGAGCGAATGAGAAGGATTGCAATAAAACAAAAATCAAGCATAGAGAAAATTTGACATTTTAGTTTATAATTTCAAAAAGGAAACTTAAGCAATTTATTTTAAAATTTGAATAAAATAAAGGAAAAAAATAATAAAATATTTGATAAAAATTAAAAAAAGAAAGTTCATCATAAATTATATTAAATTTTAACCAAAAGAAATTTGTGTTTTAGTGTTTACAGGCAAAAGAAACGTTAAAAATCAATAATTTAGAAAATTAATAAAAAAAAATATCGAAAAATAAACCAGAAATATTTTTAGTTAAGTGTTTTTAAAAACCCAACAACTAACCTTTAAAAAACAACAAAAATATCATCATGGATATGTTAAATCAAATCTTAAATATGAATGCTGGTGGTGCCTATGGTGGTGGCAAGGCTGGTGGCGCCTTTGATCCCCTTTCATTTGCCATGAAACCACAAGTAGTGATACGAGCCTTGTGTTGGGTAAGTTTTTTTTTTTTTTTTTATATTTGAGGGTCATGTAGTACACAAAAAAAAAAAACTAATTGAAAATATGAAAAGCTCTCTTTTTTCAATATTTCAGTTTTTTTTGATTAATTTTGTAGTTTTCTCACGTTTAACCCTTAATTGTTTTAATTAAAACTATTATACTCATATAATATAATAATATGTTTTTTTCATTATTGTTCATATTTTTTTCTCTGCTTTTTGCTACAAAAGTTTGTTGCTGTAAACTTGACACCTTATTCTAACTACTCTGCTATATTTCTCTTTACCCTACAAAATGTAATATTTACATTGTACATATGTAACTACATACCTATGTACATATGTATGTATTAAAATGTTTGTTAGTTTATTTCCTTCACTTCAAATCATAGACATTTCTATTGATTTTATTTACTTTTTTATTATTATTTTTCTTTTGTTCAGCTTTTTTTTTGCACTACTGTCATTTTTTTTCGAAACAGATTTTCTAGGGAATACCCATTAATTGTACATGTGTTTTTCCTATATTTTGTTGTTGTTTTCTACTACTCAAGGCCTACGGTGAAATGTCATTGTTTAGGGTTTTTGTAAGTGGAATTCCTAAAACAAAATTTTCTGAAAATTTCCATATTTTGGGGAAAATCTATAATCTAATCAATACACTGATCTAAAACTGACTATAGTCTAGTCCATAGGCTAGTAGAGACTTTTCTTTAGACTATATGGTCTGTATTCAAGTCAATAGTCAAAACATCCAATTTATACTCCAGACTATAGTCTAATTGATAATGCTGACTAGAGTGTAATCTATAGTAAAACTATAGTTTAGCCTATGTTCCAGACAAAAATCTATCCAATAGAGCAGATTGTATTCAAGTTTATAGACCAAGCTATAGAAAAGACTACAGTTCATACTATATAAACTGCAATAGTAAAGTCAGTAGAGAAGACGAGATATAGTCCAGACTATAGAGAAGACTATAGTCCAGACTACAGACGAGCATATAATTCAGACTATAGAAAAACCTACAGTCCAGACTATAGACAAGCCGACAGTCCAGACAATAGGTACTACATATAGACCAGACTACAGGTGAGATTATAGTCCATAGTCTATATAGTCTATAGTCTAGTCTATAGTCTAGTCTATAGTCTAGTCTATAGTCTAGTCTATAGTCTAGTCTATAGTCTAGTCTATAGTCTAATCTACAGTCTAGTCTATAGTCTATAGTCTAGTCTAGTCTAGTCTAGTCTAGTCTAGTCTAGTCTAGTCTAGTCTAGTCTAGTCTAGTCTAGTCTAGTCTAGTCTAGTCTAGTCTATAGTCTAGTCTAGTCTAGTCTAGTCTAGTCTATAGTCTATAGTCTAGTCTAGTCTAGTCTAGTCTAGTCTAGTCTAGTCTATAGTCTAATCTAGTCTAGTCTATAGTCTAATCTAGTCTAGTCTATAGTCTAATCTAGTCTAGTCTATAGTCTAATCTAGTCTAGTCTATAGTCTAGTCTAGTCTAGTCTAGTCTAGTCTAGTCTAGTCTAGTCTAGTCTAGTCTAGTCTAGTCTAGTCTAGTCTAGTCTAGTCTAGTCTAGTCTAGTCTAGTCTAGTCTAGTCTAGTCTAGTCTAGTCTAGTCTAGTCTAGTCTAGTCTAGTCTTGTCTAGTATAGTCTAGTCTAGTCTAGTCTAGTCTAGTCTAGTCGTCTAGTCTAGTCTAGTCTAGTCTAGTCTAGTCTAGTCTAGTCTAGTCTAGTCTAGTCTAGTCTAGTCTAGTCTATAGTCTAGTCTATAGTTTAGTCTATAGTTTAGTCTATAGTCTAGTCTAGTCTAGTCTAGTCTAGTCTAGTCTAGTCTAGTCTATAGTCTATAGTCTAGTCTAGTCTAGTCTAGTCTAGTCTAGTCTAGTCTAGTCTAGTCTAGTCTAGTCTAGTCTAGTCTATAGTCTAGTCTAGTCTAGTCTAGTCTAGTCTAGTCTAGTCTAGTCTAGTCTAGTCTATAGTCTATAGTCTAGTCTAGTCTAGTCTAGTCTAGTCTAGTCTAGTCTAGTCTAGTCTAGTCTAGTCTAGTCTAGTCTAGTCTAGTCTAGTCTAGTCTAGTCTAGTCTATAGTCTAGTCTAGTCTAGTCTATAGTCTAGTCTAGTCTATAGTCTAGTCATAGTCTAGTCTATAGTCTAGTCTATAGTCTAGTCTATAGTCTAGTCTATAGTCTAGTCTATAGTCTAGTCTATAGTCTAGTCTATAGTCTAGTCCATAGTCTAGTCCATAGTCTAGTCTATAGTCTAGTCTATAGTCTAGTCTATAGTCTAGTCTATAGTCTAGTCTATAGTCTAGTCTATAGTCTAGTCTATAGTCTAGTCTATAGTCTAGTCTATAGTCTAGTCTATAGTCTAGTCTATAGTCTAGTCTATAGTCTAGTCTATAGTCTAGTCTATAGTCTAGTCTATAGTCTAGTCTATAGTCTAGTCTATAGTCTAGTCTATAGTCTAGTCTATAGTCTAGTCTATAGTCTAGTCTATAGTCTAGTCTATAGTCTAGTCTATAGTCTAGTCTATAGTCTAGTCTATAGTCTAGTCTATAGTCTAGTCTATAGTCTAGTCTATAGTCTAGTCTATAGTCTAGTCTATAGTCTAGTCTATAGTCTAGTCTATAGTCTAGTCTATAGTCTAGTCTATAGTCTAGTCTATAGTCTAGTCTATAGTCTAGTCTTGTCTAGTCTATAGTCTAGTCTATAGTCTAGTCTATAGTCTAGTCTATAGTCTAGTCTATAGTCTAGTCAATAGTCTAGTCTATAGTCTAGTCTATAGTCTAGTCTATAGTCTAGTTATAGTCTAGTCTATAGTCCTAGTCTATAGTCTAGTCTATAGTCTAGTCTATAGTCTAGTCTATAGTCTAGTCTATAGTCTAGTCTATAGTCTAGTCTAATAGTCTAGTCTATAGTCTAGTCTATAGTCTAGTCTATAGTCTAGTCTATAGTCCTAGTCTATAGTCTAGTCTATAGTCCTAGTCTATAGTCTAAGTCTATAGTCTAGTCTATAGTCTAGTCTATAGTCTAGTCTATAGTCTAGTCTATAGTCTAGTCTATAGTCTAGTCTATAGTCTAGTCTATAGTCTAGTCTATAGTCTAGTCTATAGTCTAGTCTATAGTCTAGTCTATAGTCTAGTCTATAGTCTAGTCTATAGTCTAGTCTATAGTCTAGTCTATAGTCTAGTCTATAGTCTAGTCTATAGTCTAGTCTATAGTCTAGTCTATAGTCTAGTCAATAGTCTAGTCTATAGTCTAGTCTATAATCTAGTCTATAGTCTAGTCTATAGTCTAGTCTATAGTCTAGTCTATAGTCTAGTCTATAGTCTAGTCTAGTCTAGTCTAGTCTAGTCTAGTCTATAGTCTAGTCTATAGTCTAGTCTATAGTCTAGTCTATATTCTAGTCTATAGTCTAGTCTATAGCCTAGTCTACAGTCTAGTCTATATTCTAGTCTATAGTCTACTCTATAGTCTAGTCTATAGTCTAGTCTATAGTCTAGTCTATAGTCTAGTCGATGGTCTAGTCTATAGTCTAGTCTATAGTCTAGTCTATAGTCTAGTCTATAGTCTAGTCTATAGTCTAGTCTATAGTCTAGTCTATAGTCTAGTCTATAGTCTAGTCTAGTCTATAGTCTAGTCTATAGTCTAGTCTATAGTCTAGTCTATAATCTAGTCTATAGTCTAGTCTATAGTCTAGTCTATAGTCTAGTCTATAGTCTAGTCTATAGTTTAGTCTATAGGTTTTGAATTTCTATACTATAATCTAAATTTAAAAATTTTGGGTATAAAAAATCTCGAGAAATTCAAAACCCTCTAGTTTTGTGACATATGTATGTACGTTTATATGAGCATTTGCAATTTATTAACAATTTCTTTCTTTTTGATTACAAATCATTTATTTATATATATTATTGCTATTAAAATGTTTACGTATTTTAATAGTTAAATTAAAATTCCCCATACACTTAGAGAAATATTTTAAAGCAATCTAAATAAGAAATTAAAAGTTTAATTTAAAACGCTTTGAAATTCTTCTTTTGGAAAAAAATACCTCTAGAAAACTTTCAAAAATCGTGTTAGGAAATTCGAAAAATTTTCTTTAAAAGCAATTTAAAACTTCAGTTGAAAAGTTTTCTTTAAAAACTCTAAAACTTTTCTCTACCAAAATGCAAATTTTTTTCTTTAGAAAACTATAAAGCTTTTTTTAATTTGAAAAGATTTCTAATGTAAACTTGAGAAGCTTTTTAAGAAAATTTTGAAGGATTTAAAGAAAACTATAGACATCATCTAAATAAAGATTTATAAAGAAAACTTTAGACAAATTGTGTTAAAGTTTTCTAAAAAAACTTTGAAGGTTATCTTAAATTTGGCACAGTCAATCATATCACTCCTACTTGTTTTATATAAAAAAATATACGTTTACGATCTCTTGCCAAATGACTAATATCAAATACTCTATCAATATTTTATAGAACTTTCCAACTTTAATTTGTGTGAAAAATTTCTACAACAATTTACTTTGAACTTTTAGTATTTTTTTAATATCCCTTAATAAACTAAACAAAGCACGTATTGGAAGGATAATAAAAGATAACTTGACAATACTAATGCGTATAAGTAATTTTATTTTGTGTAAAAAATATAAAATAGCAATTATATGATGCCCCGGGGGATATAATTAACCTTTGTTAGAGGACACAACATGTGTTACAAAATCATGCCAAACATTCAGACAATTAAACTCAATTAACTCTAATCCAAAGCTAATTGTAAAGTGGCATGTGATTTTTGTGCTGTTCATGGGGCTCCAGATCTCCCTGTTTGGAAATTAAGAAATTTGAAAATGACAACAAAATTATAAACAAACTATAAGTTTTATTTGTCGAAAATTTAGTTTAGAAAACTAGTCTAGTTCTACAGCTAGTCTAGGTCTAGTCTATAGTCTAGTCTATAGTCTAGTCTATAGTCTAGTCTATAGTCTAGTC